TGCACTAGCCAGTGATTAAATAAGTCGTGCTGAGGAGTACTGTGATCAAATCAGTCATGCTGAGGAGTACCGCACTAGCCAATGATCAACTCAGTCATGCTGAGGAGTATTGCACTAGCCAGTCATCAAATCAGTCATGCTGAGGGGTACTGTGATCAAATCAGTCATGCTGAGGGGTACCGCATTAGCCAGTCATCAAATCAGTCATGCTGAGGGGTACTGCACTCGCCATTGCTCAAATCAGTCATGCTTAGGAGTACTGTGATCAAATCAGTCATGCTGAGGAGTATTGTGATCAAATCAGGCATGCTGAGGGGTGCTGCACTAGCCAGTGATCAAATAAGTCATGCTGAGGGGTGCTGCACTCGCCAGTGATCAAATCAGTCATGCTGAGGAGTACTGTGATAGCCAGTGATCAAATCAGTCATGCTGACGAGTACTGCAATAGCCAGTGATCAAATCAGTCATGCTGAGGAGTACTGTGATAGCCAGTGATCAAATCAGTCATGCTGAAGAGTACTGTGATAGCCAGTGATCAAATCAGTCATGCTGAGGAGTACTGTGATAGCCAGTGATCAAATTAGTCATGCTGAGGGGTGCTGCATTAGCCAGTGATCAAATCAGTCATGCCGAGGAGTACTGCGATAGCCAGTGATCAAATCAGTCATGCCGAGGAGTACTGCGATAGCCAGTGATCAAATCAGTCATGCCGAGGAGTACTGCGATAGCCAGTGATCAAATCAGTCATGCCGAGGAGTACTGTGATAGCCAGTGATCAAATCAGTCACGCTGAGTGCTGTGCTATCGAGTGAGCATCTCACAACCACGATGACCAAAACAGCATGAAGGTCCAGTGAAAAGAAGTTCGAAAGGGAGTTTCAATTGTGTGTTCACATGCAGTAACTGTATAATGACTGTATGCTTTCTTTATCACCAATAATCCTTATTACGAATAAAAAAGCAAGCAAAGGTTGATTTTACTAACAATATTTATCATCGATAATATATCACTGCTATTCAGACAGCTTCATTAGATACATAATACAACATCAGTAAGTCTTGTGTTCACTTCATACAACAAATTTACTCAATCAATGCAATAGAAAATCTGAACAATATGAATTACACTTTAAAAATACTTTGCATATAAATAAATTATATAAATAAATAAATAAACAAACAAGCAAATCAATATGCGTAACAGAAACAGCAAAATAAACAAAAACTTTCATGAGATTTTCATCTCCAGTAACCATACATCTTAACACTGCTGAAATACAAAATGTGCCATTTTTACAAAACAAAAACAAAAACAGTACTAGTCATGTTTATGTCAGCCATTTTGTATCAATAGCATCCAAGTTTTGACACTGAGTACCACCAAAGAAATGGCATTTTTAGAACTTTCTGGTGAATCTGACTCAGACGTAAGTGGGAGAGTGCCCGAATCCACTCATGTGAATACACACAACACTAAACTCATTTATGCATGTGTGGACCTG